AGAACGGAATGGGACTCACAATTTAGGTGTCTGTTCTAAACATAGCATGTTCTCTTGAGAAAAATGCTGGTCCCAATTCCGTTCCAAGTTCACTTCCTCCACCCCAGGCCACCCACAACTGAAATGGCAAAAAAGGCTCCCCATTCTTTTTCCTTTTCCTTTCTCTTTTCTCTGTTTTAGATACCCAGAAAAACACACTTCTCTCTCTCTCTCCTTTTGTTTTTCCAATTTTTAACTCTTAAATTTGAGCTTCTTGGGGTTTGAAAACTGGTCCCAAACTCCATGTTATCTACTGGACCACATAAGGGATATGGTTTTTTCTTTTTAATTTATGGATGGAATGGTGGGTCCACTCGATATTTTTAACATTGCAAAATCTTGTGTTTTCCTATGGCCTAGTAAGTAAATCAAATTAATTTTTCTGGTGAGAAACTCTCATTTATATATATATATATACTATTCTTAACCAATGATCTTCAAATTTGAGTCTTTTGGGGCTGTTTTCCAATGGTCGCCAGTCTCCAAAACTTTAGACAGCCCCTTCATACGATTCTTCACGACTTGGGTACTTTGGATGATCCGTAAAATGGTAAACTGGTTCTAAATGAATAAATTTTCATGTCTTCTGTTTTTGTACAATTGTATTCAAACAACAATCATCAGTTTTTCATTTTTTGCTTCGTGGCTTAGTGGCCACAGAAACTTTTAGAAAGACATAAAGATTTGTTTTGAATCAAGTCTCTTTTTTCCCTCCTTGTAATAGAACTTCGCCTCTCTTAAAACCCAGAAAAAAAAAAAAAAAAGAACAATCATCAGTTTTTCAACATCTAAATTCCCTCTGTCCCACTCTTTCTTTTTTCTCTCTCAATAATTTCATATATTATATTGTTGATTTTTTTTTTTTTTGTTTTACTTCCTAAGACATGGATGGTTTGAGAGAGAATAAGGTTCGTTTAGAATTGCATTCAAATTTTGTTTTTCCAAGTTAAATAACAAAAGAAATTATGATTTTCAGTTTAAAATTTTGATTTACAAACTCAAATTAAAGAACTAGTAAGGAGGTGCTTTTGCACTCAATAGCAATTTTTGTGAATAAATAATTTTATTATCTTCATGTTTCTAAATTTTAATTATCTTATATACATGTTTTTAACATTTTAATTCACCATTGCATTTTTTACAGTAATTTTAAATATTTAAAGGTTTTAAATTATTTTTTTTATCACGTTTTTAATTAACATACATTTTTAATTTAATTTTTTCAATCATAATAATAATGTTAAATTAGATCTATGTTATTATTATTTCTAAGTTGTATGTATTTTATGAGTTACCCAATAATTTCACATTACGATCGATAATGATTGAGTACTGAAATTTTAAAGTAATTATCAAAAGTTTTATTCCATCAAAATTAAATTTATTTTCATATATAAAACCTATGAAAAGGTAAGTTTATGAATGGGTTATTTCTTGCTTATAAAGACAGCAGCTTTTCCCACCAAAATTTTACCGGCTCTTGACTTGTCAGCAGACTCAAGTCTAAGCACAGTTTTGACTCCTTAAGATGGATGGGATTTTAGTAAATCTTAATTCGTACGGAAGAAACTAATTTTGATAAGTGATGAAATTAGATATTATAATAATTAAATTAAAATGGATAGTGTAATTTATTTGAATATAAATATAATAATAAATATAAAATTAAAATTACTCATGGGTCAAGTATGATCAAGTTTGGGCTAGACTTAGCATGATATTTTATTAATTTAAACAAATTTAAATTTAATCCAACTTGATTTTTTTGAATTTTATTGTCTATTCAAGCGTATTCTTACATATAATAATAAAGTTCAAACTCATTCAAAATATTAATATTTAAAATTAAAAAAAATTAATTATTAATTTAACAAATTTAATTAATTTTAATTAAAATTATATGTCATTTGGGTTTGAATCCAATTTAATTTTGTTAAATAATATTTAAAATCAAATCATTGTATTCATTTTTGCATAAAAAAAATTAAAGTTTATTTTATTATAAATAATAAAGCAAATAGGTCTTGTATATTATAAACAAATAAAGCAAATGAGTCTTATCCCATTATAATAAAAATATTTTTTAAAATTTTTTGGTTGGATCGAATCGGGCTCGAATCTTAAATGATAAAATTCAAGTCTAATCTTATTCTTTTTTCAGGCGTTATTTATTTGTCAAGATTCTTTTAACAAGTTTAATATTTATATTCAAATTTTTTAAAATTTTGGATAAACTTTTGGGTTTGAGCAGGCTATTTGCCCGTTAGCAGGTATAGGTGAAATGAAATATAATAAGAATAAAAAATAATCATTGAAAATGAAATGTTGTAAAAATAAAAAATAATTATTAAAAATATTAAATTAAAATTTGTATATAATAAAAATTTTAAATTATTTGATATTTATGAAACTAATATTAGAGTTTAAGGATTTTAAGGAACATTTAAAATTAGGGTATAATTGAAAAAAAATATTAATACGATAAAAACAAAATATTATATTTTAAATGGAATAGATCAACTTGTATCAGTATAAAACTTATTAGTTTTATATAATTTTTAATCATTAATTTTAATAAATTTAAAAAATGAGATAAACAATTCAAAAATAAGAAAATTTGTTTAATCTCATCCATTAATTATTGAATCTATTAAAATAAATGATTAAAAAGTATAAAACTAAAAAATTTTATATTAGTATAAACTGATCCTCACTTTTTTCTTTTTCTTTTTTTTTTTCAAATTCACTAAGATTATTTTTATCTTAAACATTAAAATATATGGATAAAATTGTAATAAAAAAATCAATAAGGATAAAAATGTCTAAAGTTAAATGCGGTGAGCCACCACACTTATTTCTCATAAGTGGAAAAACCATTGTTGTTAAATTTATTATCAACCATATCAACTAGTATATTTCAATTATATTAAAATATGGTACATTTAAGAATAGTATTTTTTGTATCAAATTTAATATCAAGTAATACCAATTATTTTTGTTTGTTTTGATTGATTTTGATGAATTTTGATGGAATAACTTATTTTGACCAATATATGAATATAAAATATTTTGGTTATTTTTAACTTATATTTTGTTATTTGACTATTTTTAATTTAATAAAAATAAAACTCATGAAAATGATAATATTTGAAAATTATATTTTTATTTTTTTTACTACAACTTATTTTCTTTTATATTTTATTTTTAAAACAAAATTCATAAGTATTTTTATTTTTGAGAAAATAATTGTGCTCTCTTTTCTAAAGTTTTAAAATCTTAAAACTAAAATTAGTTTTTTTTTTATTTCCTTATTTTTATCTAAATATATTTTTTCATAAAAATTAGTTATTTAAATATCATATAATCAAATTAAATGTTAAAAAATATCATGATAAAGTGATGATATTATTTTTTATATTTTTGAACTTATTTATTATGTTTTTTTAAAATAATGTATACTTACTTTGCATATTATAATTATTAGTAGTAGTATTATAACATACAAATACATGTATACTTATAAATATATTTATATCAAATAAAAAATCTGAAATAATATGTTGTACAATTGGTATTGATACTTATTTAAAAAAAAAAAAGAAAGAAAGACGTTATACAATACTATGTTAACAACCTTGGGGAAAACGCACTCCCATTGCTGCCACATACCGCAATTGATCGATGGCTTTGATACAAAACGACACTCCGATTGAATCCAAATCAGCACTTAATGTTTTGGTGCCTGCAGATATGGGATCAATGTACTCTCATGCCTTCAATTAAACTAGGGTTTTCTCAACTCACAGCCTACCCCTTCTACTTCATATATATATATATATATAAATTTAAACTTAGATCATCAAAAAATTAAATACTCTATTAATAATTCTTGTGATTATGACATAAAAATCAATTGTAATTCGTCAATAATCATATAATTTAATGATTAGATATTAAATTCAGACAACTTCAAATATTAAAAAAAAAACAATTGTAATTCATTAATATAGTTTTCTAAACTGCCAAAGTTACAGATATTATACATCTGAATAAAAATAACATATGTTTCCTTGTCTTAATTATGCAGATGAATTACTAAAAACTATACTAGTACTAGCTTAATCTTATGCCACTTGAACTGATATAGACTTAAATTTTTGTTTTATTTATTATTGGTGGAAACATTATGAGAAAGAGCAAAGTAGAGTACGGCTGCCAAATACTATGTGCCCGAAATAAACTTAAAAAAAAAAAGGATTATTTAGTAATTGATCAATATCTTGTTTAATTACTAATTTGATTTATCAATCTTTCAATATGATTAAAGGATCATTCTCAAGATCAATAATAAGAAACCTATCCTTCCTTTTTTTTAGTATTATTTATCATCATCATTGTCCCTATTGTACATTTATAATTTAATAATTTATATATTTTAATTTTATTTATTTTATATTAAATATATTAAAAATACAAAATTTATCATGTTATAGTTTTTGTTGATACTAAAATACTAAAGATATATTTTTTGGATAAATAATGTATTTATTATTAAATTTTCGATAAATATAATTGTACAGGTCACATAAAAATATATAATATTTTTTATTTTTATCAAATTATAAAAAAATTATTAAAAATTTAAATTATATTTCTTTTATATTTTTTTACGTGTTGATGTTGAAGTATGAAATCTTCTATTTGTTTCCGTTAGTCATTTCATTATTTAAAAAAAAAAAGATTTTACATAATTTTCTGTCTTTTTAAAAATATTTCTTCTTGATTGTATCATACATCACTTTCCCTTCGTCTTTTCATAATCCTATTTTTTAATAAAAAAGCTTTTTTTAAAAAATATATACCACTTGTGTTTAAATAAATTACGATAATTAGAATAATTAGTGAAATTAAAATGCGGAAAGGTTGGGTGACAGCAAGAATCGTTGTCTAAAAGATAGATACACCTCATCCTCAAAAGTACACGTCACCCTCAACCGCTCACTTTCTCTTTTCTCTCAAATCAAAAGCCCCTCTCGTTTTGTTTTTTCTCTTTTTTTTAATACGTCTTTTTAATCCGCGTCTCTGCTCTTTCATCTTCTCTTGCCAAAATCTGGGCATGGTAAGTCGGCTTCTTTTTTGATTATTTTCGAACTTTATTTTCTTTTAGTACAGAAACAAAAAAAGAAAAGAAATTTGAACCATGGAGCTGTACGACTCGGCCACGTCCGCGTGGAGTAGCAGCGGTAGCTCATCGTCATCATCCTCCAAGCCTCCGCCGCAACATCAGCAAGATATCGATGGGCTGCTCGCCGAAGCTGGATACAAAATCCGGTCATCGGACCTACGACAAGTAGCTCAGCGACTGGAACGACTCGAAATCGCCATGGTTAATTCCCCAGCTGATTTCTCTCAACTCGCTTCGGATGCTATCTACTATAACCCTTCCGATCTCGCCTCCTGGGTCGACTCGCTCCTATCCGAGTTCACTCAGCCTGCTACTTGCCCCTCCGAATTCATCATGGATCCTGTAACCAATCAGACGGTGGTAAACAACGTGTGGACCACCGACGAACCTCATACGCCTCAGGTGCACCAGAATATTTCTTACGAGCAGCAAAGTTTGAATCATCAGTTGACGGTTGTAACGGCCATGGAAGAAAATTCCGGTATAAGGCTGGTCCACATGTTGATGACGTGTGCGGAGTGCGTCCAACGTGGAGACCTCTCATTGGCTAGTTCATTGATAGACGACATGCAAATGTTACTGACACGTGTCAACACCGTTTGCGGTATCGGTAAAGTTGCTGGACATTTTATCGACGCTTTGAGCCACCGTATTTTCCAAGGAATTGGCGTCGGCTCTATCAACGGTGGCTCCGTTTATGAGAACGAGATTTTGTATCATCATTTTTACGAAGCGTGTCCATACTTGAAATTTGCTCACTTCACGGCCAATCAAGCGATTCTCGAAGCTTTAGAAGGTCACGATTGCGTCCACGTGGTGGATTTCAATTTGATGCACGGCTTACAATGGCCAGCTCTGATACAAGCCCTCGCTTTACGTCCCAGTGGACCTCCTTTACTCCGTTTGACCGGCATTGGACAGCCGTCTCCAGATGGCCGTGACTCGCTTCGCGAAATCGGTTTACGACTCGCCGAGTTGGCTCGGTCTGTTAACGTCCGTTTCACCTTCCGTGGAGTCGCGGCTTCTAGGCTCGAAGACATCAAGCCGTGGATGCTTCAGGTGAATCCAGAAGAAGCAGTGGCAGTTAACTCAATCATGCAGCTTCACCGCTTGCTTGGATCCGATTCGACCCGGAATTGTCCCATCGAAACGGTTTTGAGTTGGATCCGGAGCTTAAACCCGAAAATCATGACTGTCGTTGAACAAGAAGCAAACCACAACCAACCTGGTTACCTAGACCGGTTCACGGAAGCTCTTTATTATTATTCAACGCTGTTTGATTCTTTAGAAGCTTGCACTGTTCAACCGGAAAAAGCTTTGGCCGAGATATACATCCAGAGGGAAATAGCCAACGTGGTGAGCTGTGAAGGGTCGGCTCGAGTGGAAAGACACGAGCCATTGGCTAAGTGGAGGACACGGCTAAGTGGAGCCGGTTTTAGGGCATTACATTTGGGGTCCAATGCGTTTAAACAAGCTAGCATGTTGTTGACTTTGTTCTCGGCGGAAGGTTATTCGGTCGAAGAAAATGAAGGGTGTCTGTCTCTGGGTTGGCATAGCCGCCCTCTCATTGCAGCTTCAGCTTGGCAAGTCATGCCTGATCCGGCGGCCGAGTTTCTGGCCTGGGATAATCATCAGTCATTCTCATAGGAGGGCAGAGTAACAGTAATAACTAAGAACTTTCAGTAAATATGGGGTAATTTGGTTATTTTTTGTAAGATTTTTTTTTTACAGCTTTTATATTATCTTGTGCTATTTTCAATGGGATTTTACTTTCAAGAGAAAATCTGTTCCTAGGATGCTTCATATAATTTTACCCATTTTCTGCAGCTTCTTTAAATCGGGCAATTTGGTTGTTATCAAGATGTTGAGATGGGTTCATATCAATTTAAATTTGGTGGTTTGCATTGGGCTTAGAGTTGAAATTATTAGAGGTATTTGTTTGTAGCAGTTTCTCAAACCCAGAATCTAGCAGTGCCATGCAGATGCGGTGTGGCCATAAGAGGCTGCCACTTTGGACTTCGAGTAATGCGTGTCTGGACATAAGTTGTTGCCAAAGGCTGAGGCAGACTCACTGGGTAAGCGGTACCTCACACTACCTAAATTGGGGAATTTCTTCGGACACCTTTTTCATGTTGTGAGTGCTGGTTGTGACTAAACATGACCCCCCAAATTTCTCATCCAACCACCACATTTTCTTTATTTTCTTAAAGAGATGATCAGTAATGCTGCTGGCATTTGTGACACTATTTGGATACTGAAGATGGGTGCGTAAGCCACTGAATCTGCCAAATCCTTCTGTAACAAAACTAACCATATATAGGAACAGCTATTTACTTTTCTACACTCTGTTATTACTTTATCCCATGCCTTTAATTTGCCTTATAAAGGTGAAAATATCACCCGACAAGAGTTAACCAAAAATAATGCACTGCATCTTCCAAGCTAAACCAAGTTTTCGATTCTTTCATTTTTAATAAAGTCAAATGTGAGTCTAAGTCTAACCAATTGACTTTGATGCAAAACAAAGCTGAAAAGGCTTATGTAAGTTGAGTACTTAATGGCAAGCATGCATGAAATTAATCACACGTGAAAAAATGGGTTTCAAACGGCGTTGCTTCTTCCTCTATATCATCTTTGCTTAGGTTTTTAAAGGATGTGTAATGGTAGCATGGGAGAGAGACGATGCATGTGGGTTTTTTGAAAGCAAATTAAGCCAACGGGGTCCCCTTACCGAAATAATGAGACAGAGCAACCCCAGAGCCCAGACCCAGAGATGGCAAAGAGAGGAAGACTACTCACATGATAGACCTGTCTTTCCCTGTAAACTGTAATGTCCCGTTCCCTTACTGTGGCTGACTCTGACTCGCTCACAGGTCACCCGCCACTAACTACATTATAATTTCAGTAAACAGTACTAGTAGAATCATAGCTAAGAAACAATGCTAATGGTGAGTTACTAAGACCTACGACCCGTTTCAGAGACGGCACTATATTTTGAAGTCATTTTGGGTACATTAGTGCGGTGAGAGCTCCATTGATCGCGCTCCCAAACAGAATCTTGCATAGTCAACATCATGACTTTGATTTGGTAGTTGCAAAACTGTGTTTAAATTTTTAAAAGAGCGTTTTGACACTAAAAATATTACTCAAGTACTGTCCTTGCGTTTGAAAGTTTGGTAGTATTAATTTTAGTATCACAATGACGGTAACGGATTTGATTACCCAACTAAAAAGTGTTTGGTTTCTAATTTAGAAAAATAATGATTAATTTCTTCTTTTAATGTAAAAAAATCCAATGATTAATGTTCAAAATTTCAAATTAAAGTAAGTTGCATTATCTATCACGTAAGTTAAATTTTGCGATGAGGTTATTGACAAGAATTGAATTTAAAACTATTTATTGTTCAAGAAAATGAATTTATTAAGTCACATTTATGTTCTATAATTGAAGCTTAAGTCAATTTTTTTGTTGATAGTGCTCAAATAAATGATATAAAAAAAATAAAAATGATTACTGAATAATGATGAGCTGGAGTAAAAAAGAAAAGGGTTTTGGGTTGCCATTTTCAACAAGCTATAAATGTAAGAACATTCCACAAAAAGAAAAAACTGTAGTAAAAAAAAACTCTTTTACTACTTAATGATTGTCGATATTTCTTGCAGGAAGACAATTATTGGTTCAAAATTGGAAGATGGTCCCCTGCTAATTGAAAGCAAGTCAAAGGAGCGGGTGAGGCCTTGACTCTTGAGTTGAGAGTTGAGAGGACAGAACCCGGAAACCGAGTCGATGGATTCATCATCGTTCACGTGTTCACACTTCGGATCTTCCGAAATCAAAGTGGGCCAAAACACAAGGCAAAAAAAAGGGGCCCCACATATGTTGGTTCGCAGCATGTTCACGTGTCAATTTATTGCCACGTGTCGATACGATCTCTTTTTTTTAATTTGACGAACGATATATTTATATAATAAAAATATTAAAATTTGAATATTTATATTATATTTTATAAAAAATTATATATTATAATTTATATCAATATAAAAATATAAAAAATATATTTAATTATATTAAATTCATATAATAATTATTAAAATTTTAAATTATATTATTTTATATATTATATTATATTATATTATTATATTTTAAATTATTAAATCTATTTTTTTTTCTCATTCACATGAACGAGTAAAATGGGTCAACTAAATTTGTTGATTTTCTATTTAAAAAAGGTCAATTTGAAGTGAAATTGACCCTTTTTTTTTTTTTTTTTAAGAAATTGACCCGTCTTCTAAAATTGAAGATTTAGGATCAAATTGAAGGTCCCACATAAAACGTACAGAGAGCGATGTTGTCCTCTTTATTAAAATCACTTGCTATGCTAGATTAATTATTCTACAGCAATGAAAATTGATGGCTTACAACAAATAAAAATAAATAGAAAAAAAAAGTTTATAGATGAATGGTTTGCATTTGCCCACTTCTTTTAATTTTTCTCGTATATATTATTTAAAATTTCTGTGGGCATGTACTGTAATTTATTATTCCAATTGTTTGATTTGAAATTGGGTTTGACGTAAAATAGCGAAATGACTTTTCTAATGCAATTAATATTTTATTTTTTCTTTTTGATCCCAATAGCTTGTTTCACATGAAAGAAGAATAATCAAAGAAAGAATTTAGGGCAAAGTTACTGTGAAGTTGAATCGAAGGCCTTAGTAATTAATGCTAGACTGTGCTCAGCTTTCTTTCATGGCCGCAACTCTTTCTTTCAAACGTTTATTTATTTTGTCAACTACTTAAACTAAGAATTAATTAATGAAAATACATTGAGGGAGAAAGGTTGAGAAGTCTGGATTCTAGCTCTTCTCATTGATCAAAGTAGATGTTCGATTTATATATTTATATCATATAAAATATTAAAATTTATATATTTATATAATATTTTATATAAAAATTATATATTATAATTTATATTAATATAAAAAAATAATATATATTTTTATTTTATTAAATTTAAATATAATTATTATCAAAATTTTAAATTATATTATTTTTATATTTTATATTTATATTATATTTATATTATGTTATCATAATTTAAATGGACAGATATAAGCCGGAGACGATCAAATCAAGTCCGACGGCAGTAACCTTTGTCAGATTGAGACATGCAACATGCAATGACAGTAACTTGTAACCATCATTTTTTGACTATACAACAAGGTGGCACCTCACATCCCCCACTCTTCAAATTGAACATTTTTGAAAAGCCATTAATTGGTTTATCATTTATTTGCTTCAAAAGAAGAAGTGGGTAGTTGAAGACTTGAAGATTCATTCATATTTCCGACTGACCACGCAAGTTTTTATTTTTCTTCCAGTGTTTTGGGTCAGTGGCCAGCACATTTACTTTGATTTCAGTTTTACGTTTGAGAATCGGGGGGATGACAAGGACACTGTGACGTTTGCCGTACATTGTGATGTTTTTTCCAGCTCATATCAATCAGTATCAATTATCAAACTTGTTCAACAGTTGTCTCAGAACAGTAAAAATTTGCTAGCGTTAATTAGTAAACTGAAACGTGGTTTGGTTTTTTAGCTTAGAAACCTTGCTTGTTGGTACTTACCATCACTGTATTATGTGATCATAAGCAAAAGGTTCGGTGCTTTAACTTTTGAATGGCCCAGATGGATTATAGCTACTGTAGTTTTAAATCAGATTCTTATGTTTCTGGTAATTCGAAAATGAAATATCAGATAATAGCGGCAATCCCTGCTCTGCTCTTAGGAGGTGACAAAATTCTGCCTTTTGCCTCGCTTGTGGGGGCTTCCGGTGGAGATGGAGTCTCAAACTTTCAAGGTTAAAGTACCATTTCTCGTTAGCATAACAGTTAACAGATTAAGGTCCAAAAACCAAATTGCTTTAATGTGAAGCTATGGTTTTTTTACCCTGAACCCTTTAGTTTTAATCATCTTTAAAGCCTTTAATCCACTCAACATTCCTATCATTAATTCTGCCTTCCCTACACTACACGTCTTCTCTCTCCCACTGTATCCGGAAGGCTTTAGTTTTTTAGTACCAAAGAAACCATGAGAATAAGAGAAGAGATCGGAAGCGTTTGGATTTAAACTCCAAAACTTGCTGCTTCCCACCTTAAAACCACGAACCAAGCTAAATTTCAGGTTTGTCCGGACGACATTAGATAACTAAAGCAAATTCTAGCTTTTCCTCAAAATTTTCTCACATCTACCTCTCACATCTGCCTCACTTGCCTGACTTGAATCTTATGAACCAGCATTTTCCTCGAAGGACCCTTGGCCAACTCCATGGGATCTATCGTGCAGATTTTCTCCACTTGATCTGCTGGTCCATGATTTTATTGGTGATTTAGTGCCTATTGTGGAAGTGCGATGCAATTAAGTTTATTACCCCATCAATTGAATTCAAATGTCAATTCTAATAAAGCCTAATCAACATAAATTTCTTATTAAATTTTTTTTTCAATCACAACTATAATAATTTTTATTATTTTATTATTGTTTTTAATCTCACTATCCATCCAACTAGTGCCTTAATCAGCTTGTTCCTCACATCAGGTTTCCTGGCTTATAAGCGAAATTTCACCTAATGACTGTTATACTTTAATGGGAATGTTTATATATGCATTCATTTAGATACAGAATCCTAGATAAATTTTCATATATGCATCTAAACTCCATTTTATTAATCTGCTAGTAACTGTTACAGTCAGAAAAGCATTTTGTTGCGCTTTCAAAATTTTCAAAGCATAATCTCTCTACAAACTATAAACACAACAAGCATGTACATATCTTTTCTTTTCCCCTTTATTTTGATCTCTGTATCATCAGCTTCTTCCTCCTGTTTAACAGTAAAACATCACATTCTTTACCCTCTCTTTCAATGCTGGTAAAGGCCGGACAGATGATTCATTGGATGTGCGTGTGCATCGCGCTTTAGCATTTTCAGATGCCCCAGGTTCGATGTAGAATCGAGCTCTGTAGGCTGCTAGATGAGCATAATATGCCGGAGGCACTGCATATGTAAAGAACAAGTATATGTATTACAGATTTCTCATACTAGCAAACTCCATTGCATTCCTGCTACTTGGTGCATAAAAATTGCCAATTGAAAAGCAAAGGCAAGTTATCCCAATGATTTATTGTTAAATAGGAAAACCCAATCATTTTGTCACAATGCAGCTAAGAAAATAATAAGATAAAATGTGACAGAACAACCATGCAATTGTGTTCAAGCTTTTTTATACAAAAAGAAGAACAAAAATGGAATGTGTTCCAGCATGCTATGAGGTAATTTGGAAATTAATGGGTGTAGTTGTCATGTCAATGGTAGATTAGAAGTTACCAACAGAAACAGATCGTGTGCACCGAGCATACCTGCAATCAAATGATCCATCAATTTCAAACATGATAACTAGAAAGGCAACATATAGCATGAAGCAAGTCAAAATTCTTACGTGTAACAGAGGTTGTTGGTCAGAGATTGAATCTCATCTGCTGTGAAGTTATTCTCATCCCAGAGAACATGATAGTGAGCAGGTCGACTTGTCCCCTGTCAATTTCCAGTTTCAACGTAAAAATGTGTGATATTCAGGGCTTGTTTACCAAACTTTCCTTACATCTTAGGCAAAAAACTTTGCCTACAAACTCAAAAACCTTAAGGCATAAAAATCTAAAATTTAAAGTCCATACCTGGATTCCAGCATGACTACAAAGATAGAAGTCAAACTCGGTTGGATGACAGATCTTAAAATCCACCACAGTACCTGCATTTGGAAACTTCAACTAGATATTCATCTTAAAATGTAAATTATAAA